CAAAAGACCATAGTTGCGCGCTTCTCCCTGGATTGCGTTATTTGCATATCTGAATCGATAAACGACACAGACTAGCACATAGGAAGGCCATAGTAGATTGTTATCCATTGTGACTCCTAGGTATTTGGCGGTTTGTGTTCTGGTGATGAGTACGCGATTGATGGTTGAGGGTTCCAAAGGATACTCGGATCGGGGAAGACTAAAAGCGCATTCGAAGCACTTAGAAGCATTCAGCTGGAGACCAGATGAGTCCGAGAATAATTACACTTTTAATAAACTGTTGGAAAATGATTCTATATGAAATATGTTTGAAATGGCTTCATCAGCATATATAAAGGTCTTGGCTGGTGGGATACAGGGTGAGTCACTGATGAGAGTTGAAAATAAGTGATGAGAAAGCATAGCACCCTGAAGGATTCCAGAATTATTCACTAACGGTTTTGGAATAGTGCCGTTTGCTTTCGTTCTTTGAATCCCTCTTGTAAAAATGTCTCTCAATCACGACAATAACTTGGTGAAGCAACCGAATGAGTAACTTTTGGAGAGGAAAAGATCGTGGAACGGAATCAAAAGAAGAAGAATAATAAAAGAAAACAACTAACGGATGTTTGACAATCATATAAAGATTTGCAAGTAAAGCGCATCAGTAAAAAGACACCATCCAAAGTGCATCTATTTGGTTTATAGGCATGGGAAATATTGATACCAGATTGCAAGCGGGTGAGAACAGCTCACTGTATTTATCATGAGTGACCGGGTCTACGGTAGATAGTCGATCTGTGGGGTATGAATAATAGAGATCATTACGGCGATCGACATCAATAGTTTTGTCTTATGTCCGCACTACAATCTGATCCCTTGCCCTAACCGCCTACCATCTCCAGCTCCTAGAATTTCCTTCGTAAATGACGCATTCTGTTTATTGATATCGGTTCTGATTTACAACGTGAGTTGTTTCGCATTCGGTGCACCGTTAACGCTTGTTCTTTTTGTCTTCTAAGGAAAGCATACTCTAACCATGTGAACCAAACTTTTTACCATAGGACAGCTTAATTTGGAAATCACCTCAGCTGTTTCAATAAACTGTTCAACAGAACAAAAAGAGATTGTTGAACGAAAAACCACGAGATGATGACTAGAGATCTCTTTCAGGAACGGAATCTGTCCGCTGAAAGATCCTGAAATTTGTGTTCATTTCTTTTGTTTGAATAAAAACGGGGTATTCCCACCCAGTGTAAACTTTTGGTCTCAGACATCGGAGTCAGTGGTCACCAGTGGAGATTGGCGGCTTCAGTTTGAGGGAGAAAGTATTAGAGTGGCTGATGATTACCTTGTTCAACACAGCATCTCTAGTAGGTGTTACAGAGAGATCTATTAGGCCGAAATAAAATAAAGGTTGTGTTGATCTGTAATTAAAATAAATTATCATGAACTAAGGGAGCAATGAATCGAATAAATGCATCGTAAAACAAGCTAATTTCGATTTTTGAGAACAAAGGGCAGTGTAGAAGTGGATAATAATCGTGCCGCTAAAAGGTGCAAACTTAGGTCCACTTGAAATAGTGAGGCAATCACAACACCACGAGAGAAGGTAGACAGCGTTTCGGACTCGCCTCCTACTGTCTTCTTTTTGCTTCTCTGTCTTGTTGAAAACTCGTAGTATATTGATCCAAAAAGTTTTTTGATTTAACCATGATTCCTGTTTGAATACTATACACGTGTTTATGTGCACGCGATAATTTAGTGGATCAGTGAGGTCAACCAAATTGTTAAACAGAGAGCAAATGTTGAAACTGACCAATGAGAAAACCGTCATATTCACAGGAATGTGTGCGACAATGGTCTGTCACCCGGAACGCCTGCGTTTCTTGCTCCAACCACAGAATCCCATTCGAGCAGAACCATTTTATTTGGATGGCACAGAAAAGTAACGATTATCCATTTCATTATAGTGAAAATTCCCCAGGGATACGAACGTCGTGTGAACATGGTAAAAAAACCGAGCAATAGATTCTATTGCTAGAGTGAACACAAGCGGATTGCTTACTCATCTTTCCCCGGCTGAATTTGTAGTGGATATGTAAATTCGTGATAAGGATGAAATAGCTGTATAGTGCTTTCAGGGCTCTTCACTGGTAGTGATACACTGACTGCATACCACCTTCATGAACAATCCTAATCTCCCCATACTGTTTCGTCGCACAATGCATGTGAAACTGCTGCTGTGGCTGACAATACGGGTCGGGTTTTTTATTGTAATTTCTGGGGCATTTTTAACTGAAAAAATATTGCACCAAATTAAGCTCCGTTTAACATTTCGTGTAGCTCTACGAGTGTGTAAGTTGACAATAAGAACAAAATGAACAAGGGTGAATTTATCGGCCCAAATGATTTTGTCGAACTAGTTTGCATTCACAGAAAAAGCATCACGCTTGAAAATTCCGTTTCTTATTTTCTACCACATTCACGCAATAATGAGCTAAGGCCAAACAGACACTAACTACAGATGAACTGAAAAGCCACAATTTGTGCATGTTAATTCCCAATACCGTTATCCGCACTGACATTGAAATCGGATTGTTCATGACCACAGAACCACGCCTATCTTTTTATTGACAGCAAACCAATTTCGACATCGTAATTTATTCAATTTCCCTTCTCTCCATTCAGTTTGAATATGTGTCCCAGTACCTGGTAATCGCCAATTGCATTCCACTTATATTGAAATTTTTCAACCAAAACACTTGCCATTATGTTCAAGCGAAAAATACGTAAGTGGATCACTATCTTTGTTGATTAGTAACCCATCCATTCGCCACATTCTTTATTCACTTCATCATCACACCTGGGTGAAACAAATGTTAGCAGTTTAACACAACCCTATAAATGTCAAATGATGATCTTTGATCGCTTTTTCTCCGGTGCTATTTTATTAGCTGTTTCAAGAAGGATTTGCAAAATAGAAAGAGGGTGAAAATAATTCGATCTTAAGTTCCAATTGCATCTCCTTTTTTCAAATCGGAATGGCCCTCCGCGAGGACATAATGGCCACAAAGTGTATAAAAATTCCGAATGCACACTAATGCTCATTCTAAACAAACAAACAGTACACCTTTCAACTTCTGCTCCAGAAGTTGTTAGTGGACTTTCAGTCGAACGAAGATAGTTCGCCAGATAAGCTGTTCAAAAAGCTTAAGTTTCTTGGTCGAATTTCTCCGCTTGTTTATAGTTTACCGTCGAATTTTTCTAATATCAACTCTTTCCCGTCTCTCATCAAATGGTGACATTACAAGGATGTCTCTTTTCGAATGGTTCAATGTTAGTTTAGAGATTTTTGATGTTTAACAGGGTTTTACCTTACCTCGGAAATGTTGCGAAATAATTCCTAACCTTCCAATGTAAAGGGAAAATCAGTTAATTTGCAAACATTTACTAACCCGGCAGATGCTGCTTTGTTCGTGAACACAAGGAAAAACTTGGCATTGCTGTCCCGCAGGTGTATGAGAGAGTTCTCTAGCATGTGCATAACACAATGGTCTTTGTGGCTGTAACCACTCGCCCAAAAGTAGAGACAACAGACGAGCTTTTTGTTTCTTCTCCAGGAACCAAGGTACGTTCAGTAAGACGAGTGACTGTATTTTCCAATACCATTGGATTTTCAGAACTGCCTAGTTCGTTGCGGCACGACCACTAGTCGCTCGTTTCTGCGCCATATTTCTTGAATATGTCCCAGGGAAAATGCTCTTGCGTCGTGGAACCCTACTCTTTGTGCTCACTTTATGCCAATCTCATGTCTCTGTTCATCGAGACACAATAAGTTCTACGTACTATGGATCCTACGGTCCGAGCCCCGCTAACGCTACCCAAATCTGGTAGTAGGCAGCTTTGCTGTCATCCAGTCCAATACTACGCCCAACTTAACGGGGCCTTATGTAGTTTGCCGCTACAAGTCTCGGGACACAGGTTACCGGTTTCTGTCACTGGATAGCCGGTCTTCGTGTCCATAGGGTCTGTCGTTCATTACATGGGTGTCCGTAATACAAAAAGAAGTCTTTCTACCTCACAGGAATCAACCATATTGTTCAATAGTTCGATGCTACGCATCACCACGATAGCCACATTTATTGCAGGTTGAGTGAAGGCATGTGTATCCACGTTTTTCAACATGGCGTGGAAAATCACTATAGAGCTCTTAACCGGCACCCAAAGCAAATCGTTACAATAGACCTTGTCCTTTTCATCTTAGTTGACATTCTAAACCAGTGTTTTAATAGTGGTAACTTTACACAGAAATGCGATGTTTGACTGGTTACAGTTTCATCAAACGAAAGTAATTCCTCTTTTTCTTTATCTAGACTTCCAATCCTGGATTTTCCGTCGAGACTGATAGGAAAAGCGCCTGTGCTCGCTTTGGAATCTCTGGTACGTCACCAATGAATTGATCGCTGTCTGTTTACACCCTCGGTATTTCCTGATTTCGAATATTTGGCAGTTGTGACACGTTCTTTGAGTCTTTTCTTCGCTGGAAAAAATGGGACACAACAGGCCTGTGTGCATGGTTGGGTGTATTATTTTTGTCAGTCCATTTCTCACGCCTTTACTTAGTTGCACTCTGTATCTACTCCACTTGTTCGCTTTTACTACGCTCTCGGTACTAACCAACAATGTTTAGTTTACTACGCAGTAGTAAAAACCTGGTAGCAACTAGTGTTTCCTTTTCATTCCCTCTTCTGAAGATAAATATTGGGTGATTGCATTTGTAAGCACGTGCGCCAACTACCATGAGGCTTCTTGACGTCGGTAATGTTGAACTACTTTGAGGTTTTTAGGAAGGCGCTTTCGATATACACTAAATTTTTAGTATGTTTTCAACGCTTCCTCCATCTCTGGACCCCACGTTGGTCTCATGATGAGTCTTTCTTTTATTATAGTCCAGTGATTGGAGCAGCTACTGTTGGCGTAACTTATTTGCGTGCATAAACCTGCTACGTGTTCTCAACATGCTGACGAAATGGAAGCACTCACGTACGATGGTAAGTCTGTTTTTCGGCTGTCTACCTGTGGTGGCCAATTAGGCAAGATCCCAATGCTTAATGTGATATTTCTTTCGTGTACACACAGCTACTAGTCGTGTTCAAATCGGCGCCAATATTGAAACGAACCCTCCGTGTTAGACATGCTATGATGCAACTGTACGTCTTGAAGCTACTCAAGCTACAAAGTCGGTATTTCGGGCGACAGTGGCGCAAAAACAATATGTCAATCATGTCGGCTATTTACCAGAAGGTTCGGCATCGCCTCACGGACGATTGGGCCTATGGTAACGGTAAGCTCTATTTTTTCTGATCACATAAAGTATTTGAAACAACCTTCTACAGAATAATCTATAGCAAACACCAGTTCCGGGGCAACCCGAGCGTAGTTGTTCAGTGTAGTGCAATAAACAGACCGTTAACCATGGAGATGCCTAATTTGTTAACGAAAGGTCGGAAGTAATTGACTTCTTCACTCCTCCACCAAATTTAAGACATTGAAATAAAAGTTCCCTGTGTTTACGTGTCTGGCCGATGACATTCAATGACCTGCTGTTTCTTAACTGAATTGGGCACATGAGGTGGACGTTACAGCTCAGAACACAGATGTGAATGAAGCCTGTTGGAGTTAGCGAATGATTGACGTCTTAGCAATTACCATCTACCAAACTTACATAGATAAACGTTTTACTTCAGTGTTATTGTAGTTATTTTAAAACGAGGCAGTCACATTCACATCTGTGTTCTGAGCTGTAACGTCCACCTCATGTGAATCAAATCGTGCAACGTACCAATGCATGTGCAATAAAGTCAGAAGTCACCAACCGCACCGGGTTAGCAATTGCATATTTTGAACGGGTATGCTTTTCCACACCTGAAGTATATTTTCTCAGATCGAAGGATAACAGTGGCCAGACTACATGCAACGCGATCACGTTGCTTCACTTCTTGGATAACCACTGCTCTAATCCTCCATTTCCTTCAGGTCGCTTTCATATCTGTCGTTGTCAAGTAAATTGCACGTACATTGAATGAAAGTATTTGTATGAAACTGAGAGCCCTGATACAGATTAAATCAAATCCGAAAGCTTTTCAGAGGTCTGTGTGGTATCTTAGCTACCAAGATTGATAACTGCCATTTCCGGTTGTTACAGATGTGGACGCGCTACCCTGGCAATTCCAAGTGGAAGAGTATACATTGCGTACAAATGTGGACCAATTCAACCAACGGCGGTACTCCGACAATTGGTTGGACCCGTTGTTCGAGCCGATTGACAACTCCTTAACGAGTGTCTTGAGCCAACCTATGCCCCTATCCGAAGAGTTCAAACGGAATTACGAAAAGTGGCTTGAAGAAGAGGTGTTTTCTGTGCCCATTAATTGGTCTCAAGTGCTGGCGCGATAAGTTTATCTCCGGATCACACACTATGAACACATGCACAACTCGTTGCCTCGCTTTTCCACTAAC